GGAACATGGGGGCCTACTTTGTTTTGCTGGGCGACGTCATCTAGACACATAATCGTCCTCTCTGATTCCCCTTTCCCTCTTCTGAATAGTGTCCCCTCTGTGCCCCAGTACTGGAAAATCTGCTGGGAGGGACTTCACTCATGTGCAAACTCGTGCAAGCACCACCCAACTAAAGCTTGTGTGCTACTGCCACATCATGGTCATATGTGTATGTGTGTATATATATATATATGTATTTTTTTTTTCTTGATCAGCCCTCAAATCTTTCAAAGTCACAAGTTGTATGGTGATCCCTTTTCCAACTCCTTAACTTCTGTGGGGCCAAGACTTTGTTTTCTCTCCCTGGCAAAGACTTTCAAGCTGAAAATTCTAAGGGTTTGGCAAATGATCAGCAAATCACCACCCAAGATTTGTTATATGGCTTCATATTTTGATATTTAAAAACCTTTATTGAGGTACAATTGACATACAATAAACTGCACATATTTACATAGTCTAATATCAAAAGCACATATATCTATACCCATTAAATCATAACTGCAATCAGTATAGTCAACACATCCAAAGCCCACAAAATTTCCTTATGACCTTGAGTTAGTCCTCCTGTCCCCACCCCAAGCAGCCACTGATGCCACTGATTTACTTTTTTTTTTTTTTTTGTATATCTAGTAGAGACGAGGTTTCTCCATGTTGGTCAGGCTGGTCTCGAACTCCCTACCTCAGGTGATCCGCCTGCCTTGGCCTCCCAAAGTGCTGGGCTTATAGGCATGAGCCACCCACCACTCCTGGCCAATTTACTTTCTTTTCATTATAGGTTAACTCCCATTTTATAGAAATTGACTAATATGCTACATACTATTTTTTTGTCTGGCTTCTTCCACTCCACTTAATCATTCTGAGATTCATTTATGTTGTTGTGTGTATCAATAATTCATTCCTTTTTTATTGCTGAGTGATATTTCATTAAATGGCTATATCACTATTTATTTATTCATCTACCTGAATAAATGAATAAACGGTAAAAATCTGGGGTGTTTCCATGTTTTGGCAATTACAAATAAAACTACTGTCTGTGTTCATACAAAAGTCTTTATATGGATATAAATTTTATTTTATTTATTTATTTTTATTTATTTAATCTCTAAGTGAGAAAGTGCCTGCAGAAAATTTTATTTTCTCTTGAGGAAATACCTAGGAGGGAATGGCTGGACCTCATTGTGGATGTTGTTTATCTTTTTTGTAAAAATTGCCAGACTGCTTCCCAATTTGGTTTACCATTTACAATTCTACCAGCGATCTAGGAGAAATCCAGTTCCTCAACATTTTTACCAATACTTACTAAAGTCGGTCATTTTAATTTTACCCATTCTGATAGGTGCCTATTGGTATCACATTGTGATTTGAAGTTGCATTTCCCTAAAAACTAATGATTTTGAGCATCTTTTTTATGTGTTTGCCATTCATACATCTTCTTTTTTGAAATGTCTGTTAAAATACTTTGCCTATTTTAAAGTTGCACTATTTGCATTTTTATTGTTGGGTTTTCTGGATAATAGTCTTTTATCATAGACATGCTTTGCCTCTAACATAGATGTATAGTGCCTATCAGTTTTTTCCTCAATATTGCTTGAACAGCATCCCACAAGTTTTGTTATGCTGTTATTGTTTTCATTCAGATCAAAATATTTCCCAACTTCCCTTTTGGTTTTTTGTTTAACCTACACTTTGGCATAAAATATGGTATATCCTGGTGGATGTTCCATGTGCACTTGAAAAAAGTGTGTACTCTGCTGTCACTGTGCATCCTTTAAGTGTCAGTTATGGGAGGTTGATTGATAAAGTTGTTCAAGTCTTCAATACTCTTGCTGATTTTCTGCCTTCCTGATTTACCAGTTATTGAGAATACATATTGAAAACTCAGGCTACAATTATGGATGTGTCCATTTCCCCTTTCAGTTCTTTCCATGTTTGCTTCACATAAATTGAAGCCATGTTTTCAGTGGCTTAAGTGTTTAGAATTGTTCTGTCCTGTTGATTAATGGATCCCTTTATCATTTGGAAATGACTCTTGAGCCTGGGTAATATTCTTCCTTCTGAAATCTATATAGTCTACTATTGATATAACCACTCCAGCTTTCTTTTGACTAGCATTAGCATGGTGTATGTTTTCACATCCTTTTATATTTAATTTCTTTGTGTTTTCATGTAATATACATTTATTATAGATAGTGTATAGTTGAGTCTTCTTTTTTTAAATCCAGTCTACATCTGGCTTTTAATTGGTACGTTTAGACCATTTACATTTAATGAGATTATTGATATGGTTAGTCTGAGTTTAATGTGTTGATGTTTTTGTATTTATCCTATCTATTCTTTGTTCTGTTTTTTGATGTATTTTTGGCCTTCATTTGGATATATCAAGTATTTTTTTATGTTCCATTTTATTTCCTTGGTTGGCTTTTTAACTATAACTCTTTGTTTTGTTACTTCAATGGTTTCATTAGGATTTATAGTACACATCTTTAATTTGCCACAGCCTACTTTCAACGGATATTATTTTTTTATTATTATTTTTCTTATGAGATAGAGTTTTGCTATTGTCACCCAGACAGTGCAGTGGTGTGATCTCAGCTCACTGCAACCTCCACTTCCCAGGTTTAAGTGATTCTCCTGCCTCAGCCTCCCAGGTAGCTGGGATTACAGGCACCAGCCATCATGCTCAGCTAATTTTTGTTTTTTTAGTAGAGATGGGGTTTCACCATATTGGCCAGGCTGGTCTCAAACTCCTGACCTCAGGTGATCCAACCACCTTGGCCTCCCAAAGTGCTGGGATTACAGGCCTGAACCACTGCAACTGGCCACCAACTCATATACTACTTCTATAGCATAAGAACCCTACAATAATATACTTCTATCTCCTCTCAGATTTTGTGCTTATATTGTGATGCATTTTACTTTTACATATAGTGTAAACCACATTATACCATATATAATAATTACTTTTTTTCTTTGAGACAGTCTTGCTCTGTCATCCAGGTTGGGGTGCAGTGGCTCAATCTTGGCTCACTCCAATCTCCGCCTCCCAGGTTCAAGCGATTCTCCTGCCTCAGCCTCCCGAGTAGCTGGGATTACAGATGCCCACCACCATGCCTGGCTAATGTTTGTGGTTTTAGTAGAGATGGGGTTTCACCATGTTGGCCAGGCTGGTCTTAAACTCCTGACCTCAGGTGATCCACCCACCTCAGCCTCCCAAAGTCCTGGGATTACAGGTGTGAGCCACTGCACCCAGCAGTAATGAGAAAAATCATACATAGCTACCATTTATAACATTCTTTCTTCCTTTATATAGATGTAGATCTCCATTTTCTTCCTACCTGTATGACTTTTTAAAATATATCTTGCAATGTGGATTTGCTGGTGATAAATTCTTTATGTTTTGTGTTTATTTTGCTTGAGCTTTTGAAAGATATTTTGCAAGGTATAGAATTTGCAGGAATTTCATTTTTCATACTTTCAGAACCTTAATGACACTTTTGCATTGTAGTCTTTCTTATATTATTTCAGATGAAAAATCTACTGTCAAGTTTACCTTTGATTCTCTGGTCATAACACATCTTTTTTTTTTTTTTTTAGAGTCTCACTCTCTTGCCCAGACTGGAGTACAGTGACCCAATCTTGGCCCACTGCAACCTCCACCTCCTGGTTTCAAGCCATTCATCCACCTCAGCCTTCAGAGTAGCTAGGGTTGCAGGCATGCACCACCATGCCCTGCTAATTTTTGCATTTTTAGTATAGATGAGGTTTCACCATGTTGGCCAGCCTGGTCTCAAACTCCTGACCTCAAGTGATCCACCTGTCTTGGCCTCCCAAAGTGCTGGGATTACAGGCGTGAGTGAGCCACTGTGCCTGGCACTGACCATAACATGCCTTTTGTTATGGATCGCTTCTAAGGCTTTCCCTAATCACTGTTTTCTCCCCCCCGCCCCCACTTCGAGCATTGATATACCTTGGTATATTTCCTTCATGTTTTGTGCTTTGAGCTTGCTAAGATTTTTGTATCTGTGAGTGTATACTTTTCCTCAAATTTTGAAAGCTCTTGGCCATTATATCTTCAAAAAATTTTGATTTTTCCAGTTCTCCCCTTTAGAGTCTCCAGAGCCACTTGCATTTACCGTATACTACTTTTTCTTCCACAATTTCTAATCTGCCATTAATGGCAACCAGTGTATTTTTTTTTTAATTTCACACGTTGTAGTTTTTACTTCTAAAAGTTTGATTTGGTTTTGTATTTTTATCATCTAAAACTCAACTTATCCTTTTGCCCATGTGGAATTCAGTTGTGATAACTGTTTCTCTGTTAATTCTGAAATTTGTAACTCTTCTGTAACTGTAAACAGTTCAGTTTCCATTGATTGATTGTTCTCCTCATGAAAGTTTGTGTTTTCCTGCTCTTTTACATGCTTGGTAATTTTTTATTGGATTTCAGATGTTTTGATTTCTACATCATTGGCTTACCTTGAAGGAGTATTTGTATATTTCCATAAATCTTTTTGAGTGTTGTTCAAGGATACAGTTAAGCTACTTGAAACCACCTGGATCCTTTTGGATCTTGATTTTATGATTTGTTAGGCAGCTCTGAAGAAGTGCTTAGTCTGGGGCTAATTATCAACCACTACTGAGGACAGAGCTTCCTGAGTGCTCTAATGCCCTATCATTTTTTACTTTTTCTAGTATGGCTAATAGGAATAGTCACTATTCCCTCTGATCATTTTAGAGGGAATAGTGATCAACATTCCACTGCTGAATGCTGCAGGGAGTTGTATTAGTCAGGGTTCTCTAGAGGCACTGAACTAATAGGATAGATAGATATATAAAGGGCAGTTTATTAAGTATTAATGCACACAATCACAAGGTTTCACAATAGGTCATCTGCAAGCTGAGGAGCAAGAGCCCATCTGAGTCTCAAAACTGTAGTACTTGGAGTCTGATGTTTGAGGGCAGGAAGCATCCAGCACAGGAGGAAGATGTAGGCTGGGAGGCTTGGCCAGTCTCGACTTTTCACATTTTTCTGCTGATTAGGATAAAAAAAAAAAATGTGGGGGGAGGGGAATGGTTGGCACAGTCTAAAATGGCTATTTCTCTTACTGGTGGTGGTTTGTTTTGATTCTGTGGACCAAGGGGGTTTCTCCACTTCTCTCCCAAGTTCTGTTGTATTCAGGGATTCAGGGTGATATTCTTGTCTTTGAGTAGTTTCTAATTATATTTTTGGGGAGGGACTGATACCAGAGAATCTTTATTCTATCATCTTGCTAATTTTCTCTCTCTCTCTTGTTTTTTAAAGCCAGGTCTAAAATATTTTGGTTCTCTAAAAGTATAGGGAGCCTTAGGTGCTGCTTGGGGCTATAGCAGACTGAGACCCATTAGTTTCTCTTCACAGACATAAGGACCCAGAAGAAGGAAGGGACTAGAGTGACTGGCTCACGATGAATACAGTCTGAATCAAGACTGGCAGCAAACATGATATGAACCATGTTACACAGCCCTCTTAAAGTGACATTTTCTACCTTGTCATATTTTAGACTGGCATTTAGTTTTTATTGCTGTAGAAGACTGGAAAAGAGAGAACCTCTTTGTTTCTATAACACAAGAAGTTGTCATATCTTTGGACCTTGATGGTTCAAGTGGAAGTTAATAGTATTAGGATTAAATTCTTAGATACCTGAAAGGCAGAGGAAAAACTCTGCTCATAGTAAGGCCATTTATAACAGAAAGAGAAACTTTGATGATGCCAACCAACACTCACATGTAAAGGTACTGAACTTTTTGTATTAGGACAGTTTCAGATTCCTGGGTTTCTCCAATTTTGTAAGGTGGAGGACACCTAGAATAATAACTGAGATAAATTTCACTGCCACCTTCGGTAGCTGGGGTTTTGGTACAGATACGTTGGATTAAGAGGAGAAATTAACACTTTATTTACATCTGAGTTTGAGAAGCTCGTTCACACTGCACGTTTAGAAAGTATTTTTTTAAGCTGTTTGTGGTCTTTGAATCTTATATTTGGTGACTTTAGAGATTCTTATTTTGTTATTTGTTCATGGTGAAATTTTCTGTGCACTCATGTATATGGTATGCAATTCAGTTTATGTGTGTGTAATCAAGTCTTTCAGTAATTTTCTTTATGCCTGTGCTCTTGTATTTTTTAATAAGAACATCTTTTATTTACTCAAAAATGATTAAAAATATTCTGCTATATTTTAATTCAATATCCTTGCTATTGTTCTTAAAATATTACTTTGATCTCTAGTTCATCATAAATTGTGGAGTGTGTATGTGTGTGCATGACATGAAAACTAGCATCTATGTTATTTTTTTCTTAATATAGAACCTACCAATTCACCAGATTTATTTCCTTTTCCAATGCCAAATCTATGAGATAGCCTATTCTCGTATATTCCCTACTTCAATTTTCCTGCTATTCCTGATCCCTGAGAAATACCGACTTAATGAAATCAAACAAAACCAGAGTCCACATTTCAGTCTATGCCTTCTAGACTCACACTACCATTACAGGAAACATAAATATCTAAGTCTTTTTAAAATTTTGAGGAATTGTACAATTAAAAAGCTAAATAAGATATGAATAAAAATAAATTTGCAAAAAAATTCAATAAATTCTGAAGAGACTTCTGTGAACCCAGACCTGCTTTGACTTCATATATGAAAATTACTCTCTTCATGCTCTGAAAGTTGATTTTCAATTATTTAGAAACACTTGTTTTCTGTACGTCTAGTACGTGTGCTGCTTTAAGCTCTGACACTCAAGTTTTTATAGTGGCCCTAAGGGAGGAAATGTCTTCAATTGGGCAAAAGACATAATACATCAGTGAACTTGCTGATTCTCTTACTCACAAGAATAACATTTTTCCTCCAGATTTTCCCATCCTGATACCATTCTCAGTTCAATCATGGGTGTGAAGATTTGAGGCATAAATATTGCCTCAAAATGTTTGTGAAAATTTAAAGCTGGTTAAAACCTATATTTTTCTACTGGATTTAACTAAGAGCTACCCTGGGATTTATTCACAAAGGTTAGTCTAATTCTAAGGATTGAAATTGTATAATCTATCTTTTCTCAACCACTCAAACTAAGGAATAGATTTTTCTGATGCTGATGAAAAGTGGGTTTACTGATATAAAAATGTGGGAGTCAAAAAAAAGTAAAAATGTGGGAGTCTGGAAAGTTAGCTCTCAATATTTAAGAACATGTCCAATCCAGATCTGAAAACTTCACTTCTTCGATGACATTTTGTTATTTGTTTGAATTTGTAAAATTGACAATTTTAAAGATTAAAGTAAAAAAACAGAAATAAATCATTCAGAAATAACAACTTATTAAAATTTTCTTTTTTTTTCTTTCCTATGTATCTATATTTCTGTTAATTGTGAACATGCTGTAGATAGAGTATTTTGATTTTCCCCCAGGTAAACAGCAAAGCACTTTTATTACTTTTGGATTTCATCCCCATTCCTTTTTTGTGTAAAGGGAACAGTCTTTCTGTTGACAATTGGAATTCTGTTGGGTTTTAATTTTACCTTTACTTCTTTGCCTTTGCTTCTCAAAGAGGACATGCGTTTCAGGTAACCAATGAGAGTGCTCCACATCCCTGGATTTATTCATATGATAGAAGCATGGCCAATCAGAAAAGTTCTTTTCCATGTTGGGTGAAGGTGGCAGAGAATGGCACTTCCTACTGTGACCCTAAATATAAGGCCACAAAGGTGGCAATGATTGACTCTGTCATTACATGGAGAGACCCTATAAGAGAATGAAGTTAGCATACAAAGGAGAATAGAGTGGAAGAGAGTAAAAACAAGAGTCTAGTCAAGAATTTGATTTCTTTCTCCTGCCCTACCTCTTGGACTTCCAACTTCTGTGTCAATATAGTGCCTCTTGCATTTAAGGTAATTTGTTTGGAGTTTTTCTCACTGTCACCCAGAGAGTCCTAATACTATATTATATCACAAAGTATTTCATATCTCTAAAATTTTTAATTCAATTTAATTTAAATTTTTTCTATTCTCGTTTCTCAGATGATCTAAAATTTTGATTAATATATTTGTAAATTCTAAAAAATAGCCCATTCTAAGAATATACAAGTCTAAGAATATAAACTAATGAGTGTGTCAATAAATATTAGCTCTTATAATAATAGTCATTATTGTTGCAATGTTTATTGTCATTTCTATGAACATATCAGACTCAATGTAGGCTTTTCCTTTCCCACATTTTGGGATACTTATATTTTAAAATTTCAATTTTTTCCCTTTTAAGTAAAATTTGCTGGTTGTCTTTCAATCTAAATTATGGCAACTTACAATTCTAGCTATTGAAATGCTAGAGGAAAGTATCAGCTATTTTTATTATATTTCTCAAATTTAAAAAAATTATAATAATTTCTTTCCGATCAGAAACATCTCATCAGACTCTCATCAGCATTGAGTTTGTAAGTTATAATTATTGCCAATTTAAAAGATTTAATTTAGTTTTTCCTTTTGTGATTGAGGCTATGTAATTATTATATGATCATGATTTATTAAGGCTTCATTGTATAAGCTGTTCAAAAAAAGATTAAACCAATTTTAAATTTTAATTTTAATCTTAAAGTTAAAAATTTTAAATACCACTTAATACTTCTGAAATATATTGGTCCACCTACAAGCCCATTACTCATTCCAGTTTTTTCTTTTTACTATAAACTTCTTATGTCTGTGGTTAAATACAGAGTTCTGATCTGGTGCTCAGAACTTGCATTTTAGGAGAGAGACTAGATAGACAGCCCCTCTCAGGCCTTTCTCAGTCGGCAAATCTAAGTTGCAATAAACCTTCCAAGCAAATTTACAAGCAGGGAGGAAAAGTAGGGACTTGAACAGATATTTGTGCACCCATGTTCATAGCAACGTGATTCACAATAGAAAGAGGAAGCAACTCATCCCATTCTTCTTCCGAAGACATTTACTGAAAAGGCCAAACACTTTCCTCACTGTTTTAGGATGTTAGCTTTATCACAAGTTCATTTTAATGCATATTAAGAAATTCCTTCTTCAACTTTAGTGACCTAAGAATCACCTTGTAAATTTGTTTAAAATGCAAATTTATGGATCATCCACAGAAATTTCAATTAGTGAGAACTGAGAAAAATCCAAGAAGCCTACATTCCACAGGTAGACCTGGCGTTTCTGCTGTGAGATTCTCCCTCCCTCCCTCCCTGCTTCTCTCTCTCTCTCTCTCTCTCCTCTGTCTCTCTTTCTCCCATTTATTGTTAATCCCCATTTCTACCACCCGCCCAGGCACCCTGTAATCTGCTTTCTGTTTGTCTCCGTAGTGAACATCTGAATAAGAAGAGGAATGAGTGTAGATTGCCTTATGAGGTACCAAAATGTTTCATAAAATGATAATAAGTGCAGGTACAGTGGGGTGCACTTGTAGTCCCAGCTGCTTGGTAGTCTGTGGGAGGATTCCTTGAATCCAGGAGTTCTGAGTCAGCTGAGGCAACCAGGTGAGATCATTGTAAGGGTTATTGCCGAGTTTAAAATGAGGAAACTGAGGCCAGTATAAGAAAATTAAATGCCAATTTATTCAGCTCCGGGGCGAGGTTCCATGGTCCCAGGAAAAGGGGCCAGAGAAGTTGCGCGTGGCTTCCCGCGGAGTAGGGCTTTTATACTGAGCGAGGGTGTCTTGCCTGGTTATGAGGGAACATGAGGTGGACGGGGCAAGTTGCTGTTGTTAGGTAGGCGGGATTTCCGGTGAGCGGGCTGCCCATGGGGAGAGGGACCTGGACCGGGCAAAATGCTATTGGGCAGGTTTTGGCGGGGCTTCTTTTAAATTTTGGCGGGGTTTTTCCAACGGCTGGCTAGGTGCCGAGTGCAGAGTCTAGTGTTGAGTGCAGATTTGGGTGCGGAGTGCAGAAGTGGGTGTTGGGGAAGCTACGTGGTGGAGCTAGATGCTGAGTGCAGGGCTTGATGTCGAGAGCGGAGTGGTGACATAGTTTTCAGGCGTGGAGAGGGATGGGCATGTCTGAGGTCCCGGCGAGGCAACCAGCCTTACAATCATGACTCTTAAAAAAAACACAGAGCCGGGCGCGGTGGCTCAAGCCTGTAATCCCAGCACTTTGGGAGGCCGAGGCGGGTGGATCACGAGGTCAAGAGATCGAGACCATCCTGGTCAACATGGTGAAACCCCGTCTCTACTAAAACTACAAAAAATTAGCTGGGCATGGTGGCACGTGCCTGTAATCCCAGCTACTCAGGAGGCTGAGGCAGGAGAATTGCCTGAACCCAGGAGGCGGAGGTTGCGGTGAGCCGAGATCGCGCCATTGCACTCCAGCCTGGGTAACAAGAGCGAAACTCCGTCTCAAAAAAAAAAAAAAAAAAAAACACAGTAAGGCTGGGCGCGGTGGCTCACGCCTGTAATCCCAGCACTTTGGGAGGCCGAGACGGGTGGATCATGAGGTCAAGAGATCGAGACCATCCTGGTCAACAGACGGGGTGAAACCCCGTCTCTACTAAAAATACAAAAAATTAGCTGGGCATGGTGGTGCATGCCTGTAATCCCAGCTACTCAGGAAGCTGAGGCAGGAGAATTGCCTGAACCCAGGAGGCGGAGGTTGCGGTGAGCCGAGATTGCGCCATTGCACTCCAGCCTGGGTAACAAGAGCGAAACTCCGACTCAAAAAAAAAAAAACACACAGTAAAATGGTAATAAGCAAAACAGCATATTATTGGCATACAAAACACACTGAAGTGTTCAGAAACAGAATAGTTACACATAGAAAGTAGCTTTTAAAAGTAGGAATGAGAAAATAGATTTTTTTCCGAAATAATTAGCGCTGAGATTATGCATAAACCATGTAAAATAAGACCACACCTAACTTCTTACTATCCGTTAAAATAAATTCCAGATGGTTAAAAGACTTCTAAAAATCAGTAGTAACAGAACTGAGTATTAAAAAATTCATATACTTTGAGATGAGAAAGGATTTTGAGAAGAATGAAATCATAAGTTGAATTCATTAATCAAGGATTAAGAAGGTTGCAGATTTAAAAAACAAAGAAGTGTTCCCGACAGGTCCTGTGCATGTCCTCGGGAAGTAGAAAATGCAGGGTCACAGCTGCCTGACTTCTGCTTTCCACACGTGTACTGTCCATGTTCTCTCCAGCTCAAGATGTTGCTGAGGCTCCACGCTCTCATGGGAATATGTTCTGAGCTCTCCTGTCACCATAGGATCACTCTTCTGAAGAGAATTCCTAGAGGACACTGATGAGAGTGTGAAAGCAGGGATGGGAGAAAAAGCAGGGAGGGGAGGGACAATGTGGCACATGGCCACCCCAGAGTGCCCATTCTCCCCTCACCATTTTAGGCAGCTTTTTCTTTTCTTTCCCATTCTCTGCACTCCTGCACTCAACTTTGTTACTGTCTCCGTTTTAATTCCCACCCACCTTTCTTTAATTCCATCATTCTCTAACCTTTCTATACACATGTATACACACTTAGTACCCAGCCTAGAACAGGAGGCTCTCCACCCTCATCTCCTGGAGATCAAAGTCTCCAGATTATGACTGTTAGAGAATCACTCAGGTTGCCACCAATCAGGACTTCTTTTACAAAGAGCCTGGTAAGGTTAAGAAAACTCGGGAGATTGCTTCTGCAATAAACCAATTGGTTCTTCATGGAATGTGGATCAATTTGTCAAAGCATTCAAATTCAGTTTTAGTACTGGCCATTTCAGTAGTCATTGTGTCTAACAGCCTAGAGAGGGAGATACAGTCTAACCTTAGGAAGAGAAACCAGACTGACAGAGGCCATAGAAAAGCAGCTAAGAACAGATGTGTGGAGGCCAGCGCCCATGGCTCACTCCTGTAATCCCAGCACTTTGGGAGACTAAGTTGGGCAGATCACCTGAGGTCAGGAGTTCGAGACTAGCCTGACCAACATGGAGAAACTCCATCTCTACTAAAACTACAAAAAATTAGCTGGGCATGGTGGCGCATGTCTGTAATCCTAGCTACTCGGGAGGCAGAGGCTGAGGAGGCTTGAACCTGAGAAGCAGAGGTTGCGGTGAGCTGAGATCATGCCATGGCCCTCCAGCCTGGGCAACAAGAATGAAACTCTGTCTCAAAACAAAAACAAAACAAAACAAAGAAACAGATGTGTGGAAATTAGACAAAAATAGGCTTGAACCAGGAGTCTACCAGATTTAATGTAAGATTTTAAGCAACTTCCCTTCACAGAGAGATGTTAATAACTTCACGCTTCTTTTTTGCAACTTTTATTGTTACAACAACAATACTAAAAATATTTATTATAGGGTTGTTTAGATAAGGGTAATAATGTACTTAAAGTGCTTAGCCCAGTGTTTGGCACAGAACTCCTCCTTATGCTAGCAATTACTGTGTGTCATTATTTTTACTTCAGGGTGACTTCAAGAATGTATTGATCTCAGCTGCTCAAACTTGAACCTTGCTTGGTCCCTTCCCCAAGGGCATCTATGGCCAGATAAGATCAAGAAGATAAAGAAAGACATAGTTAAGGAATTTTTCTTATCAAGTACAATGTTTAAAAGGGGAGAGTGGATCACTTATGGCTTTTTTCAGTGCAAGTTCTCAACTCCTAGAAAGGGAACAGATGCTTTTGTTTCAGCCAGAAGGAGCATGTGAGCCTCCTCTCTGCCTCCCTCTCTTTTTCCCCACTGCTGTCTTGATTTCCTTTCTCCTTTCCTCACTCCTTAATCTCTCTCTTGCTCCACTTCTTCCTTGTTTCCTTTTCTTCCTCCTTGCCTTCATTTCTCTCCCTTTCTCATTCTCCTTCCTTTCACCTTTTCTTCTCTTACTACAGCTCTAGGTTGACTGTAGGCCTAGTAAGGTCATTTTTGTCAATAATTCAGAAGTATTCAGAAATATTAAGAGTTGGCCATTTTAAAATGGTCCAAAATCTTAGAGCCCAGAACAGCAATAAATGGCATAGACGTGCTCTGCACAGGAAATTGAAGCAAGCACATTATCGAAATAGAACATATCTTCTTATCTCTTGTAGTGTCTACAGGAAACGTGATGAGAATGCTGATCACCACACACTCACTGCCTCTGCTTCTATTGCTGCTGCAGCTGCTGCAGCCACTGCAGTTTCAAGAGGCATATTATGAAGATTTTTATTTACCAGCATATAGAGATAAAGAAGACTTTGAAGACTTTATGGTGGAATTTCAGAGTACAGGGCCTACCAGACCACCTACCAAAGAAAAAGTCAAAAGACGTATCCTTGTTAATCCTGGAATGCCATTAGGTGATAGTGGCTACTGTAATTATCAAATAATGAGAAAAAATGTTTACTACAAATACAGTTGTGTGACAGAACATTACTTCCTTCTTATGCAATATGACGAGCTGCAAAAAACCTGTTACAACAGATTTGTGCCATGTAAGAATGGGATTAGGAAATGTAACATGAGCAAGAAACTAGTAGAAGGAGTGTATTGTAATTTAACCAAAGCATCTAACATACCAATGTGTCAATACAACTCATTTTATAGGAGGGGATATGTTCTTATCACTTGTACATGGCAAAATGAAATGCAAAAACTTATTCCTTATACTATAAATGATCTCGTGGAGCCACCTGAGCACAGAAGTTTCCTTAATGAGGATGGTGTCTTTGTCGTACCACCCTAGTACAGTGTTCTCTGAGAGCTTACGGTGGGAGGATATAATCCTCTCCATAATGATCCTTTTAGATCAAAGTCGAGAATGGCAGTTTTGCTTCCATTCACTTTAATCACCCACCTTCCTTTCTTCCTTTCCCAACGCCTCACAAAGTCACCATAGGCGAGGTTCACAGACAGTGCTCTGAGATGTGATCCCATGCAGGTCCCACAAGTTAGCATGCCTTGAATGTGTTATGGATACAAATGCCTGCAGTGGAAGGATGTCCAGCACCAAGAGGAACAGAAAATGGTTGCCTGCAGTGTCCTCCAAAGACACATTCATGTGATTCTCTAGTTCACCAGAAAGAATAAAAAGTGCTTCAATCTCGTCAGTGGCTCTGGTATGGTGATGTGGGGTTTCTCAGTTTGGAAATTTCTTCCTTGTGACACAATTTGGCACCAAGGGAACACAAATCCCTTTCAGACATTTATGCAATACAACTTTCCAGGGCTATGTGTATGGCTATTTCACTTGTCTTATTCTTTCTTACAAGGCACTACATAGATCCAGATGTGGACAGCTCAGGGTAAAGCCTTTATATATTTAGGAAAAAGGGCATTTCAGTCATCCAATGTTATTTGTGTGAATTCCCACATCTTTAGTTTAATTTAGATTAGATGTTTGTGTTTACAAAATTACAAGCAATTTCTCACTTTTGGGAATAGTCACAATGATCTACAATTATCTTCCTCACTTTCTAGTAAATGTGGCTGCATCTGAGAATACATCACCTCAGAGAGAGGCTGGAGGATCAGTCTGGTGAAAGAAACCTCTTTGTCCAGTTTAAGTAACAATTATCTCCTTCTCTTCAAACTTCTTAACATCTTGTTATTATTATTGCTTAAAACTTTCTGAAAATGGGATAAAGAGTAGTGATGGGCAATGGTAGGGAGGGTGTCCATTGCTCTTTGCACGCTTTACTCCAGCCCACTCTGTTAGTCTCCACTTATTCCTCATCTCTGTCTTTACACTTAGAGCTGAGCTCCTAATTATCACTCGGTCGATGTAAACGAGGGCCTAGAGCCAAGGACTGCTAGATCCCATTTTCGTGTCTAAGGGAGGAACACAGGAAATCAAGCCTCTAGGCACTTGTGATAGTTGATTTTATGTGTCAACTTGACTGGGTTAAGGGATGCTCAGATACCTGGAGAAACATTTTTGCTAAGTGGAAGTGTGAGAGTGTTTCTGGAAAAGATGAGCATTTAATCTATAGACTGAATAAAGATCTCCCTCACCCATATAGGTAGGCATCATCCAATCTGTTAAGGGCCTAAGTGGAACAAAAAGGCAGAGCAAAGGCAAATGGACTGTCTCTGCTTGAACTGAGGTATCCATCTTTTGCCCTTGGACATCAGTGCTTCTGGTTCTTGGGCCTTTAGATTCAGACTAGGACTTATGACATTGGCTCTCCAGATTCTCAAAACTTTGGGTTTGGACTGGAACTGCATCACCAGTCTCTCAGCTTGCAGATGGGAAATTGTGGGGCTTCTCAGCCTCAATAATTGTGTGAGCCAACTCCACACGATAAACCTCTTTCTATGTATCTATATATGCTCTACTGGCTCTTTCTTCTCTGGAGAACCGTTACTAATACAGCACCAATCTTCATTTGGAGGCACATGGCTTTTCACTGAAATATCTGAGTGAATAACATACCAACCAACTTTTAGAAATCTCCATGACACCTTCTAAAACCCAACCTTTGGTGTATGAGCTGAAGAAATTCTGTGCTACCCTGGGTATGTTCTACAGACCATCTCTCTGGTCATATTCATCTCATTGATCTTGGAGGTTATACAACATAAAATATATTTACAAGAGTATGGCTGGGCATGGTGGCTTATGCCTATAATCTGAGCGCTTTGGGAAGCTGAGATGGGCAGATCACTTCAGGTCAGGAGTTCAAGACCAGCCTGGCCAACATGGCGAAACCCCATCTGTACTAAAAATAAAAAAATTAGCTGGGTGTGGTGGCCTATGCCTGTAATCCCAGTTACGTGGGAGGCTGAGACAGGAGAATGACTTGAACTTGGGAGGCATATATATACATAATATATACAGTCTCTCCTAGGAATATTTTTCTCATATCTCTAACATAACTACAATAATCCTCATACAGAAAGATCTCAAAATTTTCCTTCTGCTACAAATCAATTGTGTGGAGGAAAAAATGCAATGTCTTTATTTTGTTAATAACTAATCTGACATTCTGATGAGATACCACTGTTAAGAAAGCTGAAAAACAAACTATATGTTCAGTAAATTCCAACTAAAACACATTCAATATGTTAAACAGCCTCTTAGAAAACCGTTTCTCATTGAGATTAATTAATGTGTCCAAACTCTCAAAAGCTCCTCCCTCCCCAGATTCCCTTCTTATATGGAAAGCAAGTATATGGGGAGGGAAATGTGTATGTTTCTACATTGTAGCGGTAGACATTCATGGCCCTGTGGTGTTCTGCCCTTCCTTCCCTTTGTCTGCAGAGCTGTAGCCTCTGTCTGCAGTGTGCCTGATGTAGTTGATGTAATGTGTCATCTGGAGTTTATCAGCTTGTTTAGGGCCCAGTAGCATTCCCTGGCTGACTCAGCCTCATCCTGGCTCTCCTTGACTGTAGATTCATAGGTGACATGACTGCATTTGGAAGTCCAATTCAGCCTGAGCTGTTAAGGGTTTTCTTGGAGAGGTCCCCTGGCTCTCCACTCATCATCTAGGCTACATGGAGGCTGGAAGTATTTCAAGAAGCCTGAGCATCCCCTCTGACTGTCCGTGTTGTGCCTCATCATTTACTCTGAAGAGGGTGTAACCTAAGGGCTCTTTCCTCAATGTCATCAGTTTATCTAATGAAACTTTCATTCTCCAAGACTAAGACTTACCAGAAGAAATTGAGAGATGTATGACTAATGGTTATGCTCTCATATTCTCCTTCTATTCTCATATCTATCATCCCTCTGGTTTTGGCTGGAAATGGGGCAAAGCTTTCTTTTTCTTGTCCTTGCCAAATTCTTTTACTTGCAAGTAACAATAAGCTGCATGGCCTAGTTATCCTAAGCTTTTCTATAAACTTAATTGAGAAATTATTTTTTTTCTGTTTCTTTAGAGGTGAGGGTCTCACCTTGTTTCCCAGGCTAGTCTCAAACTCCTGAGCTCAAGTGATCTGCCCTCCTCAGCATCTCCAAAGTGCTGGGATTACAGGCATCTGAGCCACCGTAACTGGTCAGATTTTTTCCTGACAGAAATTAATCTCAGGACTGGAGAAGGAAAAATGTGAGATGAGCCTGTAGTATCTTGTACTGCTAGAAAATACAGAAATATTTTTAAAAGGATAAGGACCTGAAGGAGCTCCTAATGACCAAAGCTGGAACAATTTTAGAATGAAAATAAATTTTAAAATACCATCACATTGGGGATTAAGTGTAAATAAATATTTTTAAAATAGTGTAGAATGTAAACTCAGAATAGAATAAACATTCATGAAGTCGACACTAATATGAGTTTTAACTCAAAATAAAATAAATATCCAGGCTGGACATGATAGTGTGCCCCTGAATCAGTCCCTGCTACTTAGGAGGCTTAGGTAGGAGGATCCTTGAGCCCAGGAGCCTAGAAATCTAAAAAGTTGAGCTTATGGAAGTACACAGTAGACTTCCACAAACTAGGCATAGAAGAAACACACCCCAAAATAATAAAAGCCATGAATGACAGCCAACATCATACTGAACAGAGAAATGTTGAAAGCATTTCACCTAAGAGCTAGAACAAGACAAGAATATTCACTTTCACCAATTCTATTCAACATAGTACTGGAAGTCTCAGCCACAGCAATCGGGCAAGAGAAAGATAAAGGACATTCAACTTGGAAAAGAGGAGGTTGAACTCTCTCTATATCCAATGATATGATCTTATACCTTGATATGATCTTATACCTAGAAAACCCTTAAAAACTTCTCCAAAAGACTCCTAGAACTGACGAATGAATTCAGTAACTTCTCAGGTAACAAAATCAAGACACACAAATCAGTAGCACTGTTATACACCAACAACGACCAAGCTGAGAATCAAACCAAGAATTCAATCCCTTTTACAATTGCTACAAAAAATAAAATGCCTAGGGATACACTTAACGAAGGAGATTAAAGACTTCTATAAGGAGAACTACAAAATACTGCTGAAAGAAATTGTAGATGACACAAACAAATGGAAATACATCCCATGCTCATGGATTAATGAATCAATATTGTAAAATGACCACAGTCCCCAAAGCAATCTATAGATTCAATGCAATTCCTATCAAAATAGCAACATCATTTTTCACAGAATTAAAACAACAATTCCAAAATTCACATGAAATCAAAAAAGAGCCTGAATAGCTAAAGCAATCCTAAGCAAAAAGAACAAATCTGCAGTCACCACATGAACTGACTTTAAATTATACTACAAAACAACATGGTATTGGTATAAAATTAGATACATAGTAACTATGTATGTATATTTACATAGTATACTATGTAGATATATTTACTACGTTGCAGATACATTGTATATAGTATATATATCTACATAGTATATACATTATAGATATGTATATCTACTATGTAGATACATTGCATACATATCTACATAGTATAATAGCATATATATTTCTTCTTAGTCCTGAAACTCTTGCAGGCATAAATGAGGCCCTTTAGTCGGCCCTTTGCCTCTCTTAAGCCCCAAGCTAAGACCCAAACCGAGATTCCTAGTGCTTGGTGTCCTCAGTATCCATTATGATTTACGAACACAGGTCACAAGAAAGCTTTGTGAGATACACAAAATGCAGTCAGATATCTACTGAGTTTGTGAACTGAATAATAAAATTCGCAAATTAAATTTAAAAGCCTAAGGAAGAACTATGTGTCTTACATTTTAAAATATTAACCCATGGAATTCCAACTGCTAAAGCCAAAATAAACTTCTGAATAAGCTTTCTGAAAAAAGTGTTTCAGTGCTTGGGAAAACACATCAGCCCTTCTGTTTTGCACCTTCTGTTCTGCTATAGCCTGATAACATCAGCACGTCTTCAATTGCTGCTAAGTGCTTAGTGTAGAGAAAAATCCCCGTGATCATAGGCCTGCCCTGGGCCTTCTGTTTTTGGCTGAGGGCCAAGAAGGGTACAATGATGACTATGGACCTTACTGGCAGACTCAGGGGAACCCCTGGGGCATAGCGTGGGCATGATCAAAGGAAAAAGTTGATCAGTTAAAAGAAAATGTA